GGGGAGCTTAAAGCTGGTGCAGAGATGAAAATATTAGCATGCCAACGGGAGCAGCGTTGAGTCAAAGCTGAGCATTAAGGGTACGTCTACCCAGCAATGTTATTTCAGAATAACGTCCGTTATTCCAAAATAACAATCCATCTACACAGCAATTCCATTATTTTGAAATAAATTCAAAATAACAGAGTGCTTATTCCAACTTCTGTATACCTCATGCCATGAGGAATAACACCTCTTCCGAAACAGCTATTTCGGAACAGCAGTAGTGTGGACGCTCCACTGCTGCTATTTCAAAATAGCACCTCCCCAGGGCCATTCAGAATATTTACTCCTCAGTGCCTCCTGGGGCTCTAAATCAAGGTAGTGCATCCACCTTAAGGAAGCCAGCCTCCGTCTAATTTTGAGGCTTCCCTGTAGTGTAGATGCACTATTTTGAGATATGCTATTTCAGAGTATTTCTTCCAGCATAGCTTATTCTGAAATAATCGTGCAGTGTAGATGTAGCCTAAAAGTCAATCAGGACTGATGTGGAGACCATCTGTTCATATGGAGAAAGAGACAAGAAAACATGTACTGAAGCAAACAAAATCAGCACCACACAGGTATGCCTGGGAGTTGTTCCCCATTGAATATCTGCAGAGCCACCACCCTGTCCTCTCAGATCTCCCCTCACTTGTGTGGTGATGCCTCCAAACAACTTACTGATGGTTAGGGAGCTGGTTTGTGGTGACCACGGCTTATCATGCTGATCACAGTTGCCTTATCAGCACCTTGTCTCCCTCGTCCCTTGATATTTCTAGTCTTATACTGTAAGTTCTTCAGGGCTATATTGGAAAGCTCTACTCACCCCTGGATGGTGCCTCCTCCTTTGAAGGCTCTGAAGGGTAACCCACCCAGGCTGTTTCCCCTTCTGGCACTGGCACTCCATCTTTTCTTCTCTCTATGGCCCCTCGTTCATTCCAGGAACTGCAGCCTCCTCTTCATCACATGGCCCTCTGGCTTGGTCACTATGTGGATTTCCCTTCCTGGGTACTGAAGTCCTGCCACACCAATGGCCCCATGTAGTCTTCTCTGGCACTGCTCTACCGGTGCTATTTCCTCAGTGGCTAAGAGGGGAATCTAAGCCCAACCGTTATTCTGGGAGCCAGTTCAGGCAACTTACACCTGGCAACTGTTGCCATGGACAGCCATGTACAAGGTTCTGGACTTCTGGTTGCTCTCAGTCTGTGGTCATCCCAGATCAAACTCTGTCCTGCCACAGAGTAACTACAGATTATGGACCCTACAGCCTCAAACACATCTTCCTGGCAGCAACTGCAGACTACTTCCCGCAGCCCCTTTCTGTTGCCAGCTTCCTGGTTTTATAAACCTGACCCAGCTCCTCCCACAGCTGGACTTCCATCTGCCAATTAGATCTTAGCACTCGCTGGCTGTTCTCCAGGCATAGCATATAGGTTAGCTGGACTAATTTATAGAGTTCTGCATGGATACAACATTTTGTATCTGCAGCCACATCCATGGCTGCAGATACCCACAGATATAAAGTGGATAGCTACTGATTTGCAGGGTTCTACTGATTTACCCTTGCAGGCCTTGTGTGGGAGTAGACAACCCACCACTAGGGAAAGGATCACCACTTTGTTGTCTGATTGCACAGCACCATGGGGTTGGGGCCTCAAAGTATACAGCCGAACCAACAGATAATAGTAAGGTCTGGATGCCTGATCTCTCAGAATAGACATTGTACACCTTCCAAGTCACATGATGTTATTGATACACACTTCTTTGGAGATTTGTTTCCATCACTGTTGCTGATCATCTGTTCCTGCTGGCAGGGCTACAGAAACACCCACCTTCTGGTATGAATGAGACTCAGACAGAAGCAGCTACATTTATTGACTCCTTTATTCAACACCTTCACTCTGTCACTGATCTGCAAGGAAGCCTGAATTCGTAGCAAATGTGAAACACACGCTGACAGTTCAATCCCCCCCTTCAGGCCAATGGCCTTTTCTGGGCTCCTGTTTCTGAGGCCTGAGATTCACCTGAGCAGCGGAGGAGTGAAAGATCTATTGCACAAAGCCAAATTGGCTTTCACTGGAGTCATGGGTCTTCCTCCCCTAAGGGGTCTAAAAGGGCATGACCAAGCAGCATTGGCGCAAAGCTCTGGACACAGGGCCTAAGGAATCCTCTGGCGGATGACCCTCAATATGACATTGTTGGCTCTTAATTCTTAAGCCTGCTTTGGAAGGATTTCAGCAGATCCTATTTAATCACTGCAGTCCCTTCATCTCCTCTGTCTCTGTGGTGTGTAGTGTTATAGTTTTCCTCAGCCCTCTCATCATCTGGTGTATGGCAGCTACGTATCTCCCCCTCAGAATTGGAGTGCTACCCCAGGTTGTACCCAGTAAGCAACAGAACACAGGCACTTGCTCCCTCTAGTTCAGCGGTTTTCAAACTTTTTTTTCTCCATGACCCACTTGAAGAAAACTAGTTCAGCGGTTTTCAAACTTTTTTTGTCCATGACCCACTTGAAGAAAACTGTTGATGCCTGCAACCCAACTTCATTTGACTAGCGTGTGGGCTCTGGAGTGGAGCTGAGGAGGACAGTTTTGGGGCATAGGAGGGGGCTCCAACTTCAGGGGGAAGGTCACGAGGGGTTCTCTCGAGCGGCTTTCAGTCAGCAATGCAGCGGGGGGTGCTAGGGCAGTTTCCTGCCCCTCCCTGCACCACACACCATGCTGCGCCCCAGAAGCAGCCAGCATCAGGTTCCCAGCCCCTGGGAGTGCGGAGCTAGTTCTCAAGGCAGGAGCAGCACATGTTGCCCTGTATGTTTCTCCCCACCTAGGAGCCGGACCTGTTGCTGGCCGCTTCTGGGCAGCTCAGTCTGCAGGGCCACAACAGGCAGTTAGCCTGCCTCAGCACACACACACCCCGGTCACCTGAATACCAGCAGCAATGATACCCGGTGCCTGACATTCCACGACGCAGTACTGGATCGTGACCTGTAGTTTGAAAACCACTGCTCTAGTTCTAGCAGCCACACCGACATAGAAAGAAACACATGACTCCACAGAAAGCAAAACCTCTGCTGTTTAACTCGGGAGGTGGACTGAAGGAATGCCCTTTCAGTTCTGTGTGCTTTCAATGCACAATGCCTGGAGGAGCGCTCGTTTACTAACGAGTAACTCAAATATCATTTGCTTAATTTTCACCCTGTGCACACAAGGGGCCTCTTATTTCTTGTTAACAAAGGGCACAGCTCCCTGCAGGTGTGCTATGAACTCCCAGCCGTAGGGTTTCGCTGTGCATAGCATTAAATATTTAAGCGCCTGTCAAAAACGTTGTATCCAGTTTTATAGTTTTGCTCCATTAGCTGTGTTTCCAAAAGCCACCACAGCAACTACTGAGCATTTATTCCTGTTGCAGCCAGCTTAGAAGTTATGATCTGAGAAGCTGAGAGACAGGACAGTATGTTCTGTTGCGGTGCCTGGTTTTCCACCTTACTGGTTGGGTGAGACACTGCCGGCTTTGAAATATTGCTTTTATTCCTAACTTAGAAAAATAAAATAAAAGGATTGATTCTGCTGTCTACTTGTCTCTCTATTGCCTGCTAAAGAAGTTACCGAGGGAAGCCAGATAACTGATATTTATGTAAGTTGGGGGTTTGTCATTTTAGATGTCTCACTTAATTTGTGTTAGTCAGTTGCTAGAACCATTCTTTCTCTCCTGATTTGTCCTGAGGTGTGCAATGAGGTATTGTCCTAAAGTTATTTTCATGTCAGTTGGGAATGTGTAGGTGACATTACATTATTTTTAATGCTATAAATATAAGACAACAAACACTAAAGAAAGCAAGGAATGAATACAGTTTTTTCACATTAGGTGTTGGGACAGAGTGTGAATAAATGGTTAGATCAGGAGAGTGGGGACTGGAACGCCTATCCTGTTTATTATTACTACTACAGCACTCCCAAGTAACAGTGGCGCCCCACTATGCTAGGCACAGCACAAGTACATAGAAGGAGACAGTCCCTGTCATAAAGAACTTGGGGGGGAGGAAAAAGGAATAGAGACACAGAGAGGGTAAATGACTTCCCCTTGGTCCAGGGGAGCCAACAGCCTCTACAGGCCTCTTGGCAAGGTGGGGAGGGAAACCTACACTTCTGGGAGGAGAGGGGCCAAGCAAAGCCAGTCCTCAGAATTGCCCAGAGAATGATGCTTTCCATCCCCAGCCCTCAGAGCTACCCAGAGCTCTGGCGGTGATTTAAAGGGCCCAGGACTCCAGCTGCCATCCCAGTGGCTGGGGGCTGCCATCCCAGGGGCGGGGCCAGCCACAGGCCCCTTTGAATAATTGGGTCCCAGGACAGCTGCCCTCTCCTGATAAGCCTGCCTAGGTTACACAGCAGGTTGGGGGCAAAGCAGAACCCAGATCTCCTGAGTGATAGTCCAGTGCCCTATCTCCAGACCACGCTGCCTCGCTACAGCAGGCTGATGTGTCACTCTGGTATGTCACCACGGCAATCGGGGCCAGCCACAGGCCCCTTTGAATAATTGGGTCCCAGGACAGCTGCCCTCTCCTGATAAGCCTGCCTAGGTTACACAGCAGGTTGGGGGCAAAGCAGAACCCAGATCTCCTGAGTGATAGTCCAGTGCCCTATCTCCAGACCACGCTGCCTCGCTACAGCAGGCTGATGTGTCACTCTGGTATGTCACCACGGCAATGAAATACCTGTGGCTGGTCCCTGTTAGCTGACACGGGACCACAGGGTCAGGCCACGGGGCTATAGAATGGGAGTGTAGATGCCCAGACTCCAGCCAAGCCCCAAAATCTACACCACTGCTTGATAGCTCTGCATCCCAGTCCCCATGACCTTTGGTCAGCTGACCTGAGCCAGGCACAAGTGTTTTATTGCAGTATTTTTTTGCCCATAGTGACCTCAGGATGCTAAGAATGAAGGGGAGTTTTTCAACGGCAAAAATAGCAATAGAGAGCTTACCTCCCATTCACTGCCACTCTTCCAATTCATCCTGGGCTATACTGATCTTAAATCTATGTGACATGCCTGGAGAACACTGTGACTGGGAACCTAAAATACCAAAGACAGATAAATCTCAGGAAAGTCACGTTCCCATCTGGTGCCTCAGTTTACCTCCATAAAGTAGAGACCATGCTGCTTATCAATAGGCTTGGAAGAATTAGATTTTTATTGGCAAATGGGAGCAAATGCTGATTTCAACACACACACTCACACACAGAAAAAAAATCCATCAATAATCATCAAAATGTAAAGATAGATAATAAGAAACCTGCTACTAGAGAACTTGCTACAGTTTGATTTAAGGATATTTACTTTGTATATTTCTGACACATAATGTTGACAATTTGTGTTTTAAGAGGTACATAGGTTTAACTTTTTGAATCATCAGGTCTTCTCTAAAGAAAAAATTATTGCCTGACACCCTCTATTGTCTGACTGTAATTTCCTGCAATGATAACAAGTTAAGTGGTTAAAAATTAAAAACTGCTTAAACTCCAGGATTTTGCACAGCTGTGGAAACTGATACAAAATATTAAAATGTTTAAAAATAAACATTGATATTATTCATCTAAATTATAAAAAAACACACACACACAAAATAAGAAGTCTGCCAAGCCTGCTTATTCATAATGCAGGGATATTATGAGGTGTAATTGTTTTTAAAAAGTGTTTGGAAATGCTTGGACAAAAAGGTCTATGATTTTGACCCTGCAGTCCTGATCCACAGGAACTGAGGAGATCTTATGTATTCAGGAAAAACTCCCACTACCTCTCAGGTGACAAGAGATCTAGATTGATTTCTCCACCTGATGACACTAGCAGCTGGGGTTGAATTAAATACAAAGTCTTTTCCAGAGCCTCAGAGATAGAACCATTTATTGGACTAACGTAGGGGAAGGTAATATTAAAAGAGCCATTTACATTCTCAGGAACTTTCAAGATTCTTGGTTTTCTCTCTCTCGCTCCTTATTTATATCTGTGTGAGAATAAAAGTATTTCATCCTCCCAGCCCCCTTGCCTTTGCTTTGACCCTCCAATGAAGTTGTAATCCCCTGTTTGTGACATCACAATCAGTTGCCATGGGAATGTCACAAACTCAGCATTATGACTTCACAGCTGGATTACCGAGGAGAGGATGGAGTGTGAGGGAGACAGCACTTGTTTCAACAAAATATCTTGGGTAATTAGCAAAACTGGCAATGAAAATTATGATAAAACACAAGATAGAAGCATAAATCCATTTTATAACTATGATCCATTGGAAAGTGATCCCAAGTGAGAAAGAGCTCTTTAATGGCTCTTACATTCTTAAGTAAACTGAAAAAGTCAGGGAATACAAGTATGAAATTACAGTGATTTGTTTTATTGAGCTTTTCACTGGATAATTAAGGAGAGGATTATAAATTGGAATATTAAAGGGCATTGGAACTCTCACTCCACTCTTGCACATGCAACTGACTGCACCTCATTTGTGTATGCAAGCAAATGGTTTCCACATGCAAGTCTGATGCACCCCTACGCTTGTGGATACCGGCCAGTCCACATATGAATCAAAGTGCACAAAAACAGGCGCAGAGGCTGATGTGCCGTTTGTATATAAACAGCAAAAATGTTGTTTTGAGGCCCTTCTAATAAATGTAAGCAATGGAAGTTGAAATCTGATGGTGGTGGCAATACAGGGAGGTTAGAACCTGACATCACAACATCCAGTGGCCTATGAACTGTCTCCTTCCTTTCTGTCATTGGCATTTCCTTGTGCCATGTTTCATGTGTGTGCCCTGCTACAGCTCATGAGTGGTTTGAGTGGAAAAACCTAAATCCAGCTCTGGATGTCTTTAAGAGTTCATCTATGCTGGAAAAAGCCACCCTGCAACAGAGAGTCTCAGACCCTATGTCAATGGTCTTGTTCTCATGAGTCTTGCGCTATAGGGCTAAAAATGCCAGGGTTCAGGCTCAGGCTGGCACCTAGACTCTGCCCCCCCCTCCCGCACCCACCTCACCTGTTTTCACTGCTGGAGCCATTTTTTACTTATAGTGCGAGCCCGAGACAGTTGACCCAGGTTCTGAGACTTGCTGTCGCAGGCCTTTCTTTGCAGTGTAGACGTACTTTTAAAGTACAAGGGGGAAATGCGCTGTCAGGAGAACATGTCCCAGGTGAAACACCTGGTGATTTAGAACATCACTGCCCTGTGGCTGCAATAGGGGGAACAACAAGAGAGGTCTGAAGAGGAGACCAAACCCAGCGGCAATAGATAGGCCCTAGTAGGGAACAATGGAAGTATTGCTCACTATTCCCCATCTCTTGCTCCTAGAAATTACACACATACATATCCATACACATGGAAGAAACATTGTCGTAGACAGTCGTCCCCCATGCATCTCAAAGACATTAACAAATAATGATAGAAATGTAGCCGTGTTAGTCTGGTGTAGCTGAAACAAAATACAGGACTATGTAGCACTTTAAAGACTAACAAGATGGTTTATTAGATGATGAGCTTTTGTGGGCCAGACCCACTTCCTCAGATCTGAGGATGTGGGTCTGGCCCACAAAAGCTCATCATCTAATAAACCATCTTGTTAGTCTTTAAAGTGCTACATAGTCCTGTATTTTGTTTCATTAACAAATAATATATTTCAGCTCCTCCATTAACAGCGAGATTACTTGATGTAGTTACTGTGTAGAAAGCCCCATTCCCCCCCCCCCAAAAAACCCTCCTCTGGATCCAACTGGATGACCAAGGTGATCAAACAGGTAAGGAAGAGAAAGCAGAAACCCTTCAAGGAATGGAAGATGGAAGGAATCAGCAAGGAGAACTACCTCTCAGAGAGCAGAGGGGGGAAAAGAGAGAACTGGAAAACTCTAAGCAGAGCTGGACCTTGCAAAGGGATTTAAAACCAATTGCAAAAGGCTCCGCAGCCTAGAAATAATGGATGACCAAGGTGATCAAACAGGTAAGGAAGAGAAAGCAGAAACCCTTCAAGGAATGGAAGATGGAAGGAATCAGCAAGGAGAACTACCTCTCAGAGAGCAGAGGGGGGAAAAGAGAGAACTGGAAAACTCTAAGCAGAGCTGGACCTTGCAAAGGGATTTAAAACCAATTGCAAAAGGCTCCGCAGCCTAGAAATAAAAAGAAAACAAGGAAAGAAGTGGGACCACTAAATACTTAGGATTAGATGGAGATTAAAGATAATCTAGGCATGGCCCAACACCTAAACAAATATTGCAGAAGAGGTATTACTAGCAGCCATAGGGAAGTGATAGCACCATTCTAAAAGACACTTATGAGACCTCCTCTGGAACCCTGTGAGTAGTCCTGGTCTCCCATGTTTAAAAAAGATGGAAGAGGTGCAGAGAAGGGCTGCTAGGGAGATCTGAGGAATGGGAAACCTACCTTCTGAGAGGAGGCTCAAAGAACTTTGCTTGCTTAGTCTAACCAAATGAAGGCTGAGGGAAGATACGGTTGTACTCTGTAAATATATTAAAGGGATAAATACCAGGGAGGGAGAGGAGTTATTTAAGCTAAGTGGTGGTGATGACAGAAGAACAAATAGAGTTAAACAGTGTGGCTACGTCTACACTGGCATGATTTTCCGTTAAAAGCATTTTCGGAAAAGTGCGTCTAGATTGGCAGGATGCTTTTCCGCAAAAGCACTTTTTGCAGAAAAGCGTCCGTGGCCAATCTAGACGTGGTTTTCCGCAAAAAAGCCCCAATCGCCATTTTTGTGATCGGGGCTTTTTTGTGGAAAACAGTACTGTGCTGTCTACACTGGCCCTTTTGCGCAAAAGTCTTTCGGAAAAAGACTTTCACCCAAACGGGAGCAGCATAGTATTTCCGGAAAAGCACTAACGATCTTACATGAGATCGTCAGTGCTTTTCCGGAAATTCAAGCGGCCAGTTTAGGCAGCTGGCAAGTTTTTCCGCAAAAGCAGATGATTTTGCGGAAAAACTTGCCAGTCTAGACACAGACCGTGGGTTTGAAATTAGATGAAGGTTTCTAACCAGAGGGGTGAAGTTCTGGGACAGCCTTCCGAGGGGAGCGCTGAGGGCAAATAACAAACAAACAAACAAAAACCCTCATTGGCTTCACGGTTGAGCTTGATAAGTTTATGGTAGGGATAGTATTGAGACTGCCTATGATGACATGTGGCCCATCAACAACTGTCAGTAGCAAAAATCCCCAAGGGCCAGAGATGGCTGGGGTACTAGATGGGGAGGGCTCTGAGGGTATGTCTGGACTGCATCCCTCTGTCGGCAGAGGGATGCAGATTAGGCAGGTCGACATTGCAAATGAAGCGGGGATTTAAATATCCTGAGCCTAATTTACATAAAAATGGCCACCGTTTTTGGCACTTTGTCGGCAAAAAGCAGCAGTCTAGAGGGGGATCTGTCAAGAAAGAAAGCCTTTTCCCCTTGCCTCCTGCAAGGAGGTTTACAGGATCTGTCAGAAAAGGCTTTCTTTCTCAACAGATCTCCCTCTAGACTGCTGCTTTTTGCTGACAAAGTGCTGAGTCAGCATAAATGGTGGCCATTTTTATGCAAATTAGTCTCGGGATATTTAAATCCCCATTTCATTTGCAATGTCGACCTGCCTAATCTGCATCCCTCTGCTGACAGAGGGATGCAGTCTAGACATACCCTGAGTTACTACAATGTATATGTCCTACTAAATTGCCTGGGTTTGAAAACTGGGCCTACTGGTGGAATCCACTTACAGCAGATGCAGATTTAGGGAACTCTGTAGAAAGCCCAAGAATGTTTCAATGCATTTTAGTGACCAGCTCACAATTCCAGTCTGTGATAATGGCCTACAGTTTAGAAGAGTGACACTTCTCAGAGGGAGGGTATGTCTACACTCCCCTCCTAGTTCGAACTAGGAGGGTAATGTAGGCATACCGCACTTGCAAATGAAGCCCGGGATTTGAATTTCCCGGGCTTCATTTGCATAAGCAGGGAGCCGCCATTTTTAAAACCCCGCTGGTTCGAACCCCGTGCCGCGCGGCTACACGCGGCACGAACTAGGTAGTTCGAACTAGGCTTCCTAGTTCGAACTACCGTTACTCCTTGTGGAATGAGGAGTAACGGTAGTTCGAACTAGGAAGCCTAGTTCGAACTACCTAGTTCGTGCCGCGTGTAGCCGCGCGGCACGGGGTTCGAACCAGCGGGGTTTTAAAAATGGCGGCTCCCTGCTTATGCAAATGAAGCCCGGGATTTGAATTTCCCGGGCTTCATTTGCAAGTGCGGTATGCCTACATTACCCTCCTAGTTCGAACTAGGAGGGGAGTGTAGACATACCCAAAATGACTTGCAGAGATGGCTTTCCACTGGTTGAGTGTTCACATAGATAGACCGACACAGATGCCTAAAGGAAACAAAGTAAAGCATTACGTAGTCCCTACAAACCATTTGTCTGGGAGAGAAAAAACAAACACATGCCTCAAACCAGGTAAAAGTTTATCTAACAGAAACCTGATTCTCTTCAACACGCCAATTAGCCGTTCTGACTATCTGGAGGCAATAAAGCACCTTGAAGCTATTATGTCTATCTGGGGCCCACCTTGCTGATGGGGGAAGAAGAAGTATAGAGTTTGTGAGGGCAGAGTCATGGTCAGTACAGAAATATATTTTTTTGTTGGAAGCAAACCAGTATGACTGTATTGTAAGGTGAAAGAGACACCATCTGAAGCTTGTGATATTTGCTGATGTGCCCATTTGCCTGATGTCACCTGTCTCCAAGGGATGAGGTAGAGCACAGACACTATCCAAATACTGTGGGGAAGGGGTTTCTTGTGGGAGCTGATGACCAAAAACATTCAAAGCTAGGACCTTAAATCTGGACACCTAAATCCAAATTGGGTACCTAGAGAAAGCCACATGGTTCTCAAAGCTTTAACTTTCAGTTGAAGCAGAAGCAGAATGCTTTCATTTAGGTGCCTATGTGTGAATCTAAGCTGTGATTTTAAAGGGCCTGGAGGCATCCACATGAGTTTTAATGCATCTAACTTATTTAGGTCCCTTTTGAAAATGCCAGCACCTATGTTTGAAAATGCACTTCACTGAGGGCAATATGCACAGCTTTGTCCATTTAACCTAGGTCATAGTGGTTTCTAGGTCATAGTGGACAGCAGTTTTAGATGAGACATTCCACTTGACCTCAGGAAGGTGGCAATGGCAGGGTGTACGCATTGTTTGACAATGATGCTGCAGGGAGTAAAGGTAAAGTTGTATCAGGTATTGGTTTAAACTGGAATTTTCAGAAATGCTCAGCCTTGGTCTAACTCAGGCCCTCCTAGATAAGCACTGGTCCCTCCTAG